TCTCTTTATCTAAATCAAAGGTCAAAATCAAAATTTCATCTAGATGGCAGCTCATTTTCATGCATTCTTTTGTATGTTTCTCGAAGATGATTAACTTTAAAAGGATTTCGTCGTATATATTGTCGGAGAAAAAGACGTGCCCCCTTCTCCTCTTTCAATTAGTGAAAACCACAGGTCGCTAGCTATTGCCATTATCGAGCTATTGTGTTTACACCCACCCCTCTTTAATTCTGGCGTTGGCATTAGTGGCAGTGACACTTTTTTTACCCTGTATTAGGCTTAAAGAAATTTTCTTTCTATATAGGCTGATAGAGAAGAAGAAGCTCTATCTTTGTATGCTATTTGATCATATTTCAACTGATATCATAATATTAAATTATCTATAAAACTTATTTTCGCACGATATGTGCTGGTTGTACTTGATCATATTTTATTTTTCAACATGTATCATCCTCTTTTTTTTCTTCTATTCTCTGGTACTTAGTCATCGATATACATATGTATATATAGAGAAATAACAGGACCACATGTTACTTTAGCTTAATGTATATTTTAACATTGTTCGTCTTCCCTTCAGATGAATAAAGAAAATCTTCGATTTTATATCAAAGTGCGTACTGCACTTAATATTCAACCAACAATGATTCACGATGAATTATGCGCTATTTTTGGCGATGAAGCTCCTTCTTTTAGGACAGTTACCAGATGATCTAAATGGTTTCGTTAAGGTCGAAAAGAGATTGAAGACGAAGAACAACCTGGAAGACCTATTGCCGCGACCACATCTGAAAATATTGAACAGGTCCACAACATTATTAATGATGATCCTTATAGTACAGTGGAAAAACTGCAAGCGCAAACTGATCTCAGTCATGACACTATTCAACGAATAATCTCGGATCATCTAAACATTAGAAAAATCACCGCTCGTTATATACCTAAAGATCTAACTGATGCTCAACGAGCAGAACGAGTTCGAATATGTAAAGAAAATTTAGCAAAATTCGAGTCAGGTGCATGGTGACTATGTGATGTGGTAACAGATGATGAGTCCTAGTTCTATCACACACAGATTGGTCGAAAATCATCAAATTCTGCATGGGTTGAGAGGGCTAATCCGTCACCTACAGTAGTTCGATGTAGTCGTTTTTCTTCCAAAAACTTGTTTAGCATCTTCTTTAAATCAACTGGTCCTGTTTCAATTCATTATGTGTAACAGGGGAAAACTATCAACCATCAATATTACATTGATTATTGTTTAAAACCACTTATTAACAACATCAGGAAGCAAAGACCTTCATGTGATGTTCAAGGTATTAAACTTCATCATGATAACGAATGACCACATATGCATGAAGAAGTGTCGGAATATCTCGAATCTGAAGATACCACAATAATTCTCCCCCAGCTAAGTCTCCTGATTTATTACCATGTGATTTCTGGTTATTCCATCTCATCAAACAAAATCTGACCGATCAAAACAATTCAGAATCGTTGTATCGTGCTGTATTCAACTTCAGGAGCTCCTTGAGTAAAGAAGAATATAGAGAAACATTCGATAAATGGATTGAACGGATGCACTTATGTGTTGATAACAACGGCGATTACTTCGAACATTTGATGAAATAAAACTTTGAAGAAAAAAATAAAGAGAAAAAAAGAGGATGATACATGTTGAAAAATAAAATATGATCAAGTACGACCAGCACATATCGTTCGAAAATAAGTTTTATAACGGGTGGACCATAAAGAATGATGGTCTCCGTATTTCTTGAATATCTCCGCGAGTTCTCATTCGTTCGATTCTTTACAAAAACAGGTATTTTTATTATATCTTATATAATTTTTCTTGTCATGAGACAATCGATACAATCGATTAGTCCAAGACGCACAACTTTCCCCGACAACATCTTGAGAAATTTTACGAACAGCACGTTTTAGGGCAATGATTAATGTTATTTTAGGTGTCACTGTATCCCGCTTGGCTATTTGAGCGAATTCGTTCCAGATGCAGTAATCCAATGGGTTCAAGTCTGGACTATTTGGAGGCCACTGGTCCTTGTCAATGAACGAGAGAAAGTGCTTAGCGCATCATTTTTGCAATTTTGTATCCTCTTGTTGAATGGTCCAATCGTTCCCGAACATGTCATTGCAGAACTTGAGAGCGACTGGGAGTTCTTTTTTGATGTGTCGATCATGATTGACTGTCCCATTCTCGAAAATCACTAAAGGTGATATACCTTTAGAATAAACTCCGAGCCAGACGATAGCCTTTTGCGAAAATTTACGTTTTTGCCGAGTACCACGTTTGATGTCGGCTTCTGAACGATTAACCGCCCATATACGATCATTTTGAGAATTATAAACTCCATCAATATCGAACATCTTCTCATCAGAAAACAGAATTTTCATCGTGTCTTCTTTTCGGAAGTTTTTTCGTACCCAATTAGCGAATTAGATTCTTTTTTCTTTATGCTCATCAGTGAACATTGGTTCATTTTGGATTTTGTAGGCACGAAGTCCTAGATCATTCTTGAGTATTCTCCAGACACTCGTTCGAGAAATATTCAATTCACGGGCTATTTTTCGACAGGACACCAACTTTCGCTGTTTCAATCGATGTTTGACCTTTTGAATGGCTGTCTTCGTTCGAATGGTTCTCGAGCGACCGGTTGATCTTGACAGGTTGATACTGCCGATGTCTCGAATACTCTTGCACCACCGTTCGATTGTAGGAAGGCTAATGGCACCATTGAGATGTTGAAAAACTTTTGTCGGTCCATCAGCATTTTGGTACTTGGAAAACACGAGCGTTTACAAATCTTTACTTTTCATTTTCTCGAATGAAACTGATCTAATCGAACGCGGCAGAGAACACCCACTTTTGTAGAGAATCGGACGGCGATTCGTTCAAAAAAAAAATTCGACCGAACGAATGAGAACTCGCGGAGATATTCAAGAAACACGGAGACCATCATTCTTTATGGCTCATCCGTTAGATAATTTAATATTATGATATCAGTTGAAATACGATCAAATAGCATACAAAGATAGAGCTTCTCCTTTTCTATCACCCTGTATAGAAAGAAAATTTCTTTAAGTCTAATATAGGGTAAAAAGTGTCACTGCCACTACTTTTGGTATGCTCTAAGTATAATAATTATTTTACGTAGATTCAGCATAATTAGTAGCTTAATTTTTCATTTCTTCTGCCGGTTTTGATTATAGACTGAAGGATTCAAAAAATGCAATTGAAATATATTTGTCTGACTAGCTGAATAATATGTATTATTATCTATACCTACATCACTTCAGTGATGATTAGTGTGATATATTAAGCATGGTATCTTCTCGCTTCATCGACAGAATTGTTTTTCCTTTTAATCAACGCTTTTTTTTCTGAACAAAGCAGATCAAGGGGAAGAGAGAGAACAAGAAGACAGGAACGAACATATATGTGTATATGCATATATATATATATATATATATATATATA